TGCGGAGGCGCTCCCTACACTCCGTCTCGTTTTTATTCGAACGGATACGGTCTTGCGTCCTTGTCGGTTTTCCCAGATTTTCTTCACTATTCGGCCTTTAACGAGCAAAATCTTTATCTAAAATTATTATTTGCGGCCATTCGATTTTATCTAATCGTTACTTAATAATTAGGTTTCAATTTTTCAAGACGCTGTTTATTCAATTCAGCGTGTATCGGTGGAAATAACCTTGGACGGTAATTTGGTTTTATTTATAGACCCAATAATGCCTGGGTTTACTACCGACTTTTGTGTGGTTTTTGGCTAACTTTACTCACACACGCACAAAAGACAAAAGTGATTGTTTTTTAGATTTAGTTTTGTTTCTAAGATTTCCAGGTCCAGAAAAAACGGAAGTGAAAACTGCTAGGAAACTACATTTGTTCTAAATTCCTCCCCCTCTATTTACAAGAGATAAGTTCTACAAAATAAAGTATTATAAAGGCATTGAAAATCATGAAATCATAGCTCCATTAATAATAACTCGTTTGCTTTGGGTTTTTAGAATTTTTTGAATTGAACCTTTAGGAAAAAGTCCTCAAAATTTCAACTCTCCAGTCTCCACTCACTCTAGTTTTTGAGTGAAACAATTATTTATAAAGTTTAACTTTACAAACCATCAAAATATTTAAAAAAAATCATAACTCCATTAATAAAAACTCAATCGCTTTGAATTTTAGGTATTTTTTACATTGAATCATTAGGAAAAAGTCCTCAAAATTTCTACTTTGCACTCATTTTAGTTTTTGAGTGAAAAAATTGTTTGTAAAGTCTTACTTTACAAAACATCATTATTTTCAGAAAATCGTAACTCCAATAATAATAACTCAATCGCCTTGAGTTTTAGGTATTTTTTACATTGAATCGTTAGGAAAAAGTCCTCAAAATTTCAACTTTGCCCTCACTTTAGTTTTTGAGTGAAAAAATTGTTCGTTAAGTCTTACTTTACAAAACATCATTATTTTCAGAAAATCGTAACTCCAATAATAATAACTCAATCGCCTTGAGTTTTAGGTATTTTTTACATTGAATCGTTAGGAAAAAGTCCTCAAAATTTCAACTTTGCCCTCACTTTAGTTTTTGAGTGAAAAAATTGTTCGTAAAGTCTTACTTTACAAAACATCATTATTTTCAAAAAATCGTAACTCCATTAATAATAGCTCAATCGCTTTGAGTTTTTGGTATTTTTTACATTGAAACATTAGGAAAAAGTCCTCAAAATTTTAACTTTCCTTTCACTTTAGTTTTTGAGTGAAAAACTTGTTTGTAAAGTCTTATTTTACAAAACATCATTATTTTCAAAAACTCGTAACTCCGTTAATAATAACTCAATCGCTTTGAGTTTCAGGTATTTTTTACATTGAATCATTAGGAAAAAGTCCTCAAAATTTCAACTTTGCCCTCACTTTAGTTTTTGAGTGAAAAAATTGTTCGTAAAGTCTTACTTTACAAAACATCATTATTTTCAAAAAATCGTAACTCCATTAATAATAGCTCAATCGCTTTGAGTTTTTGGTATTTTTTACATTGAAACATTAGGAAAAAGTCCTCAAAATTTTAACTTTCCTTTCACTTTAGTTTTTGAGTGAAAAACTTGTTTGTAAAGTCTTATTTTACAAAACATCATTATTTTCAAAAACTCGTAACTCCATTAATAATAACTCAATCGCTTTGAGTTTCAGGTATTTTTCACATTGAATCATTAAAAAAAAGTTTTCAAAATTTCACCTTTCCACTCACTTTAGTTTTTGAGTGAAAAAATTGTTTGTGAAGTCTTACTTTACAAAACATCATTATTTTCAGAAAATCATAACTCCAATATTAATAACTCAATCGCTTTGAGTTTTTGGTATTTTTTACATTGAATCATTAGGAAAAAGTCCTCAAAATTTCAACTTTGCCCTCACTTTAGTTTTTGAGTGAAAAAATTGTTCGTAAAGTCTTATTTTACAAAACATCATTATTTTCAAAAACTCGTAACTCCATTAATAATAACTCAATCGCTTTGAGTTTCAGGTATTTTTTACATTGAATCATTAGGAAAAAGTCCTCAAAATTTCAACTTTGCCCTCACTTTAGTTTTTGAGTGAAAAAATTGTTCGTAAAGTCTTACTTTACAAAACATCATTATTTTCAAAAAATCGTAACTCCATTAATAATAGCTCAATCGCTTTGAGTTTTTGGTATTTTTTACATTGAAACATTAGGAAAAAGTCCTCAAAATTTTAACTTTCCTTTCACTTTAGTTTTTGAGTGAAAAACTTGTTTGTAAAGTCTTATTTTACAAAACATCATTATTTTCAAAAACTCGTAACTCCATTAATAATAACTCAATCGCTTTGAGTTTCAGGTATTTTTTACATTAAATCATTAGGAAAAAGTCCTCAAAATTTCAACTTTGCCCTCACTTTAGTTTTTGAGTGAAAAAATTGTTCGTAAAGTCTTACTTTACAAAACATCATTATTTTCAAAAAATCGTAACTCCATTAATAATAGCTCAATCGCTTTGAGTTTTTGGTATTTTTTACATTGAAACATTAGGAAAAAGTCCTCAAAATTTTAACTTTCCTTTCACTTTAGTTTTTGAGTGAAAAACTTGTTTGTAAAGTCTTATTTTACAAAACATCATTATTTTCAAAAACTCGTAACTCCATTAATAATAACTCAATCGCTTTGAGTTTCAGGTATTTTTCACATTGAATCATTAAAAAAAAGTTTTCAAAATTTCACCTTTCCACTCACTTTAGTTTTTGAGTGAAAAAATTGTTTGTGAAGTCTTACTTTACAAAACATCATTATTTTCAGAAAATCATAACTCCAATATTAATAACTCAATCGCTTTGAGTTTTTGGTATTTTTTACATTGAATCATTAGGAAAAAGTCCTCAAAATTTCAACTTTCCACACACTTTAGTTTTTGAGTGAAAAAATTGTTTGTAAAGTCTTACTTTACAAAACATCATTATTTTCAAGAAATCGTAACTCCATTAATAATAACTCAATCGCTTTAAGTTTTTGGCATATCTTACATTGATTCATTAGGAAAAAGTCCCCAAAATTTCAACTTTCCACTCACTTTAGTTTTTGAGTGAAAAAATTGTTTGTAAAGTCTTACTTTACAAAACATCATTATTTTCAAAAAATCGTAACTCCATTAATAATAGCTCAATCGCTTTGAGTTTTTGGTATTTTTTACATTGAAACATTAGGAAAAAGTCCTCAAAATTTTAACTTTCCTTTCACTTTAGTTTTTGAGTGAAAAACTTGTTTGTAAAGTCTTATTTTACAAAACATCATTATTTTCAAAAACTCGTAACTCCATTAATAATAACTCAATCGCTTTGAGTTTTTGGTATTTTTTACATTGAATCATTAGGAAAAAGTCCTCAAAATTTCAACTTTGCCCTCACTTTAGTTTTTGAGTGAAAAAATTGTTTGTTAAGTCTTACTTTACAAAACATCATTATTTTCAAAAAATCGTAACTCCATTAATAATAACTCAATCGCTTTGAGTTTTTGGTATTTTTCACATTCAATCATTAGGAAAAAGTCCTCAAAATTTCAACTTTCCACTCACTGAGCAGTGGCGACACCAGAGGGGGGCCAGGGGAGGCCGGGGCCCCCCATGAAATTTAGCCGCCCCCCCTGAAAACTTGCGCTTGTGCCAAAAGTCGCATGAAAAAAGTCTACATCGAAAATATGACAAAATGTTATATATGATATATCTATATACAATATATAATATGAATCTCGATAATATTGTTGATATTTGCCTTTCAGATATTATTGATGTAGCATTATCCATGGAAATTTGACAGTTTGACCCTCGTATAATAATGACAGTATATGTTATAGGAATGTATATTCTTTTTAAACAATAAAGAATTGATTGATGACAGTATATGTCAAATTCCAAACAGTTTTAAGTGTGTTTCACATAATTTCGTAAGTATCGCAGTATTAAAACTCTGTGGCCTATCTGGCCAATCAAATTTGACACATTTTTCAATATAATTTTTCAATATTGCAATACATAAACGGTACCTTACTATTCTGCATACCTGCAAAATCCATTGACATTTTTCAAAATTCGGCATTATCAAATTTATTTCATATTTAGGATCCCAAAATAATTTTTCAAGAGAAAATAAGGGAAATAGGAAATGTTACGGCTAAAAGCAAACCAGAGGTTCTTCAGGGAATAATAATTGAAGCCCAACTATACCAGATACATTTGGGGTAGGTATAGTTTAAATATAGATGTAAAGCCATTTCTTACAACCAGCAACCAATATTTTTGTTGAACCAAACCCGAAAAAAAAGTTACTGCGAAAAAATATTTATGCTGTTAAGCTTATTGTTTAAGTCAAATTTCCATGGATAATGCTACGCCAATAATATCTGAAAAGCATATACTTTTTCTAAAAATCATAATAACCGAAGAATTTTACTGCTTTAGGTTTTAGGTTTCGGTAAGTAGTAGTTTTCCGTTTTCCGCATGCATTTCCGTGTTCAAAGTTACACTTTTTCGCACTCTGTGCGCATAAGGTCTTCATCCGCAATGAGTGCAAAGAAGTAAAACTAATTATCAAGCAACAAGTGCACCTGTCGACTTTGACACATGATGAAAAATGTTTCCTCTGTTTCTATATCATCTATACAAACTGGGTTTGCTTGCGGAAAATTAACACTTTGCGCACTTGTTAGGAAAATAACTATCTTTACTTGGATATGTCTTGCGGTGATGTTTTTTTTTTTTTGTATGTTTCAATATACCTACCTAGATAATTGAAGTTTCATAACTCCGTTAATAATAACTCAAACGCTTTGAGTTTTTAGTGTTTTTAACATATGATTTTCCCGTCATCCATACCCCCCCCCCCCCCCTCCCCCTCCAGGTAATCATGTATGGACCGCCGCACTGCCTGTGGATAAAGAATAGTTTAAAATTTTAAAGAAAATGAAAACACAAGAAACAATTTTATTTTCCAAAATGCAACAAGATAAGAATTAAAACGACAAACAATCAACTAAAAACTATAACGCAACTAATTAACATAAAACAACAATTAAAAATGCACTAAAACTATCAATATAAAACAACATTAAAGACACGCAACTAAAAACACACTGAAACCAACAATCAACATTATTTTTGTTTGATTTTCCTTCTTTGCTTTGATACTAAAACAAGACAAACTGAAGACAAACTTATCAAATAATTAAATTATTTAGGTATATTTTTTTGTGACATTGTTTTTAAATCAAATTTGTAGAATAAAGTAAGTAGTAAAACTAAATAAATTGATCGCAATCACTAAAAATGTCGGGTTTGAGAGGACCCACCGGCTCCTTTGGATCACCTTTGATGTGATCGAAATCGTAACCGTAAAAGTGCTCGGCCAGCAATAATTTCACTTTTTGCGCGTACCATCCGGAATTACGCCAATCAACCTTATCCCACATCTAGCAAAATACCATTATTAATCAATATATGAATTTAAATTACACAAACCTTAGTGAAATATTTCAGATCTCTAACAACTTCGTTGATGTGCACATATTCCTCGTTGACAATTTTTATTAAGATTTTTTCCAAATCACCCTACAAAATATTCATCAGTTTAAATACTTGAGAAGTATTTCATGCAAAATTCAAATTTATTAAATACTCAGTGTAGTAAAGTGTTTTCGGCTTTCGCCTTTATCAGTACTACTTGTCCAAGTTCCGACACAGAAGTTAAAATTGTAAAAGAACAACGTTGGTTTCAAGTCAATGCTTCTGAGTAAAAGGTACTATGCGGGAATGAGTACAAAATCGGTCATTTTTACATATAAATCTCCATAAGGAAATCTAAGGTTCATTCTGCACTTTTTTGTACCATTATACTGTGATGACCCGGGAAAATAGATCCGTAATTTACAATATCTTTACTGTAAAAATTAAATGTTAATCAAATAATCAAAAAACTGAATTTCAGTATCAATAAATTGAAAATGAAACCAATAATAATTAACCCAAATTTAATTAAAATATCAAAAAAAAATTCTTATTATTTAGTCATCATTTAAATCAAATCCATGAGAATATTAAAAGCGAGGCCAAAGTAATTAAATCGGTGATTTATATGGCGCACGTGTGTCAATCTTCTTTGAGGTATATGTGACATTCTTATACGAAATCTGTTGACCCCGATAAACCAGGAAATTGCGGCATAATTATTCCGTTTTAAACAAAGAAATGACAAAAATTTCGAACAGATTGCATCATCCTCTGAATGAATGATGAAATTAGGAATTTTGGGTGGACGAAACATATAAATACAGCGGTTTTATAGAAGTCTTGAGATCAGTTTTTAAGTCAGTCCAGTCCAATAGGAAGTGTTGTAATGTATAAACTTATAAGTTATTAGGAAGAGTAAAAGTAAGGCGTTTTTTTTTTGTATGGATATTTCCTGGTCCGTAATAATAAAATTTGAACGGATGTGAAATAATTTGAATTGGGAAAAAGTGGCTGTCGGAATAGAATTTGCTTATTTAAATTTTTGGTTTTAACTATAATAATAATATATTGTTGTATTAGGAGTAGAAGCTTTACTTTTTTGTGCTGAAGCAGTAAGTGCTGAAGCACAAAAAAGTGCTTCTACTCCGTATGCAACACGCTATTTTTTCTCCAAACGAATGGGGTAAGCTCGGGGGCAAGTGAATGGTTGAGCGGCAGTAAAAGTACGAGCGGCACTAAAAGTACTTTTGCTTCAGCAGTATTGCAAGCCTCACTACGTTCGGCTCGCAAACCTATTGCTTCAGCACAAAAAAGTAAAGCTTCTACTCCTAATACAACAATATACTATTAGTAAACCTCAATAGTTTGTTTCTCTCTTTTGCGAATAGACCCCTCCACAATTTTATAGGTAGCAGCTCAAGGAAATAAACATCATCAATATACCGCTCGCCATTTACCATCCAACTAATTAAATAGAGTACTTGGGGCGTTTTGCTACAAGACCGTATACAAACCTGTGTCTAGAAAGGTATGTATACAGCTAGGTATACAGGCCTAGAGACAGGTCTGTATACAGCTATACAGGTCTCGAGACAAGTTTGTATACAGCTATACAGGTCTTGGTCTTGAGACAGGTCTGTATACAGCTATACAGGTCTAGAAACAAGTCTGTATACAGCTAGACAGGTCTGTATACAGCTAGACAGGTCTGTATACAGCTGGATAGGTCTGTATACAGCTAGACAGGTCTAAAAACAGGTCTGTATACAGCTATGGTGTATTTTTTCCCAAGATGGATTTTGACATTGAAAACTTTGAAACATAAACAATACCTTTTGGCCCTGATTGTTCGAAAAATGAGGTGTCCCTGCAAGTTGGCATCAGTTTTACAATGCATGTCGTGCAAATGGCATCTTGCGACCAATAAGCGGCATTGTTTATGTTTCAAAGTTGACAATATCAAAATCTATCTTGGGAAAAAATAAACTGTAGACAGGTCTGTACGTAGCTAGACAGGTCTGTATGCAGCTATACAGGTCTAGAGAAAGGTCTGTATAAAGCTATTGAACTGACTCGTATGCGTATGACCCCCAATTTCTGGAGCTTTGTTCTCCGGGCCCCATTTACATAACCTAAAACTCATAACCCAAAAGTTGACAGCCGCTTCGTGCAACTTACATCTGCAACTAGACGAAGTACGAGGTGAATTTTATTATTAGTTACGTCATCATCAATACGAGGCACCAAGTCACGAGGTGCTATATGTGTGTTCGATGAGCCGCTCGGAGCCAGGTACGGTCATATAAAATAAAGCAGTGGTGGCTATATGACCGGTTAAAAAAGTGCAGAGTGAACTTTAAATTTTTCTATGAAGATTCACATGTAAAAATTACCGATTTTCTGCTCACTCCCACATAGTACCTTTACTCTTCTGATTCTAGGCGTTCATTGATTCTCTGTGCTGGAATCTGACAAGTAGTACTGATGATAACTGAAGCCGAAAACTACTACGCTGAGTTTTCAATTAATTTGAATTTTGCACAAAATAGCTAATTCGAACCTCCTTATTGGTACTAATTATTTACCTCTAGATTTACTCCTAAGACGTGCACCTTTAAGCTCTTGATCAAACACTCCAAAATGTACTGTCCAGTTTCTGTTATGCCGCCCCCTGGAAGTTCGTAAGGGTTGGAGTTTCCCATCCCGCGACGTTGTTTCCTGCCATTTTCTGTAGGTTTGCAACGTTGCAACAGAGTCACAGACCCACTACGCGGACCGTCCAAATCCAACGCAGGCGGAGAATCAAAAAGACTGTCCGTGTAGTAAGATTTCTGCTCTTGCTGGCGGGTATTCGGACTTTTGGGTTCTCCAAAGTTGCTGTTAATCAGCCACTCGTGCACATTGATTTGAGCCGAGCTGGACAAGTTCAACTCCTTATCAGTTTTTTCCGCTTCCTTTTTCTTGGTGTCGGACAATTGTATGTTGGCCCAAACTTCTTTGCCGTTTTGCACGTTCTGGGCGGTTTCCAGAAACTCGATGCCCAAAGGGCCGGTGGAGGTACCTTTAGTACCCTTTCTCGGATAGTTGTAGTTGCCGCGCTTCATGTAGACGCGATTCGGATTGAACAAGGCCAAATCGTCGGGGAAATAGTCGTAGTCTGAAACGGTTTGATTTGCTTGGTCGACAGTTTCTGTTGGCGTTGGCAATTGGATTACGCCTTTGGCGGTGGTTTTTGAGGAGTTGGTCGGAATTGAGGAGTCGGCAAAGGGTGGGTGGTTAGTAAGGGTTCCTTCGGAGGAGCTTTTGGTTAAGTTTACCTGGAAATAATGGAGTTATGGTTAGGTGTATTATTGGTTGTATAAGACCATGTTTTGGCCCTATAAAGGAAAATTGGATAGATGTTTGGAGCTTCGTTGACTTCTAGCAAATCATTATTCCACTATTATCTTCTACTTCGTATGAAGTGCAGGGTCAATGGCCACATTTCTTTAAACTTCTCAATTCACGACCGTCAATGGATAATAATTTACGCGGATTCTTTACTTTTTCAAATTTACCACGGACAAGATTCCGATACTGAAAGCGAAATTGAATTAATGTCCGAGGCGTTGAACTCTTCACTGGACTGATGATAAATCTTAAACTTCATAATTTTTGGTTCCACCATGAATTCCATAGGTTAACTTACATTCTTCTCCCGCTATTTCTAAGAAGTGTTATTAAGTTGAACCGAGGATATCGCAATATACATGTCATCAAAAAATATCTTCTAATTACGACGCGGTAATGAATGAAAATGATTAAATAAATCGTAATTATTCTTACCTGAGACGGTATAAAATTATAAACGGTAGCTCCTGAGCTAGAAGCATTCAAGTTGGTGTCCAAATTGTAAAAAATATTGGACAAGTGACTGGCCATTTCCTTGGTCTGCTTCTCCCAAATGAGATAGCAAGACCGAAACTCCGGAGACAGTTCCTTTTCGATTTTGCCCAAGCCGCAACCTGAAAATACTTAACGGAATCGGTATTTGAAATGATTTACAGTAAACTTACCATCTCTGTTTTCCCAGTAGCCTCGCATAATGTGCCAGCAGTTGATCAACCGGACAAAGGCGTAGATAAAGTCTTTGGTGGCCCACGGTACACCTTGCGAGTGGATGTTGGAGATGGTCGTGCCCGGTTTGAGGATTTCCGATCTGGTCCGGATACACAAGTTCTGGATGTTGCGGAAGCACGGTCTGATGCGGTTCCGGTAAGCGATTTGTTCGGCGGTGACGCAGCGGCGTTCCAAAAACTTGACGAAATCTTCAGAGTTGAGTTCGGCGACCAGCAACTCTTTGTCCAATGGGGTGACTTGGCCAGCGTCGTAACCTTCGGGTGGGGCCGGGTCCGCTGTGACGGTACTTCTGTCGGTATCGCCGCTGCCTTCTTCGTGAAAAAAATATCAATTAGATGAGGGACTCTTGTGGAAAAAAAATGGAAAACCAGGAGAGATCGTGACTGCATTTCGTTTAAACTTAGCATGTCATGTCAGCAAACCTTATGACCCCTTGAAACAAGAATAAACCATATATTCTCCATGTTCAAAGCCCAATAACCCCAAACAGCCACAGGGTAGAGGTTATCCAAGATTGACTTTGGCTACTTGAATGAGCACTGGTTGGTGCCTTGGAAATTGGACAAGATTCCTATTAGGAATTAGGTATACTCAGCTGGTTTTTACAGGTCCAGAGGTGGTACATGCATTTATGTGGCTGGCTACTATTGGCAGTGCATTTCTTATGAAAATATTCAGTCACCAGTTGTGATTTACCTTCACCTTGTTTGAATTGACTTGGGAAAGACTTTTTTTAATATATTTTTCTTTGGGTTTTCGGTCTTGAAAACATATACTTATTGTAAGGTCTCAGAGATGTTATTGATGAAGTTTGCAGACTGTCACAATGTAGGTATCGCTCTCCTAGTGGCAGTGGTTTTGGCAGATTTCTTAAGGAATTATAGTGTACAGGAGTGGCCCAAATTCGAGCCTCATTACTGGGTTCGATAGAACCGACGGGAACCATTGAAAAACCTGACGGGAACTTCACAAAAAATGGAGAAGAAACATTAAGTTTACTTCTTGAAACCCATTTTCCAGACTCCACCGAAGTGAACCCTGATAGCAGTTCCGCTTTCCGTAATAGAGCGACGCGGTAACTTATGATGGCATAAAATGGGCAATAGGCTCATTTGACAGCTTCAAATCACCGGGACCGCAGATGAAATAATATCGGCACTCCTACAAGAGACGGTGGACCTTGCACCCCATCTCTGCAGGCTTTGCAGAGCCAGCCTGGCACGAGTCTATATTCCTGTGTCCTTGAGAGAAGTAAAAGCGGTCTTTATCCCAGACCGATCTACTTATCGACCTTTATGTAAAAGGTGACAGAGAAACTAGTTGAAAACGAAAAAGCTATCGATAATAGATATTCACTACCTAATATCACTGATGTATTATAGACCGATTTGGACGTAGTAATTATTTCATGACACTGGATTTAGCCTCTAGCTTTCATCAAGTCGAGATGCGTGAAAATTCGATACCCAATTTAATGTTGAAAATGGTCATTACAAATTTAACAGATTGCCATTTGTATTAAAGAACGCACCAGCAACCTTCCGGAGAGTGAGGAAAACCTCACTGAAACAGAGGCCACTTCAACAAAACCAACATGCCTTCCAATCAGGGTGAATCATGCGAATCAACGGCGGTATTCTATAACGGATAGAGATCGTCATCCATATCGCTATGGCCTCGGCACTTGCTGTCTACTTCTCTCTATTCGAAATCAATAGAAAGGGGCAGGTGGCCCCATATGGCCAGGCCCGGTATTCTCGTAGTCAAAAACGCTCAGCGTTTTTGACTCGCTAACCACTTTTGAGGTGACAGTCGCTCAGCACCTGTCTAAAAACCTGTGATAGGTATTCTCGTTTATTTAACGCTATGCGTTTTTCTAAAGCGCTAAGCGTTTTGAAAACAGCTACCTTTTGGTTGCTGTTTTGCTGTTCGCCTGGAAAATCATAACCCATATAATTGTCTGTTCATGTTTTGTCATTGTCACTCTGAGCGCTGACCATTATTCTTTTAATTCCGAATAAGAATTTTTGTGCCAATAAAAGTGCTCGAGCAAATTGTCATATCCGATTCCGGTAAACATGGCATTTCCATATATTGGGGGAATCCTCTTGGACAATTTAGAAAATGAAATGGAAAGACAACGGTTCATTCCCGATGATCCATTTGAATTTTCCGATTTCAATTTTATAAAGTTATATAGACTGAGAAAACAAGATGTGGAAAATTTAGAGGAGCTTTTGGAACCATTCCTTCCTCAAAGAAATAGGGTGGATGCAATCAGCAACCGTATCAAGGTAAGCATCAGCAATAGTTCGGGTTCTTCACCAATTGCAAATAATTAATTACCTCTTTCTGTTTAATGAACTTATAACATTAATACTGACATCCTTTTTTTTTTAGATTTTATCTTCGCTGAGATTTTTTGCAGCGGGTAGCTATCAGCTAGATGTTGGCCGAAACCACTCAATTACAATGAGCCAACCATCGGTTTCCCGCAGTTTACATAAGGTGTTAGATGCCCTCAACCAGCCCGCAATTCTTAACAGATTTTGTCACTATCCCAATACCCTAGAGGAATTGAGGAATACCAGGGAAAGGTACCCATATTTCGATACCCTATTCTGCTATACTATTCTGCGCACATTCTTCTAAAACGAAGTTGATAGTTTTTTTTTTTGAAGTGGTTGTGTGCTGTGATAAAAAAAAAATTAAAATTAGCCTAAAACCTTGATATGAACCGAAAGCCGAACAAAACTTTTTTTATAGTTATTAAGGTATCAAGGGTATTTATTATAAGGATATTAACGTATAAATACACCATTGACCTCAAGCGTTAATATCCTTAATACGTCAACGAGAAAATTTTGAATGAATTTTGAATAAACTATTCTAAAACATATCAAGTACCTGCAAAAAAAAAACATAACGCCCTAGGGCGTAATTCAAAAATAACGCCCTAGGGAATTATTTTGGATTAAACTGACTTTGACATATTGTCATTATCTCTCGAATAATATACCAGATGGACATTAAATTTTATATAATTTAATTATTGTTAATATTATAGTGCATAATGTTTTCCAGATTTTTTGCTGAAACTAATGTGCCAGGCATTGTGGGTGTTGTAGATTGCACTCACATAGCCATTGTTACTCCGGTGGAGAATGAACATGTTTATGTCAATCGAAAGAACTTTCATTCTTTGAATGTTCAGATGGTAAGCTGCAAAAATTAACTTGATTTGACAGTGCACACAAATGAAACACACATAGACATCAAGATCTTATTTATACAAACTTAAATGTCACCAGTCCTTTATATGTTTTAGATCTGCGATGAAAAACTGAAAATCATGAATGTTAATGCACGCTATCCTGGAAGTACCCATGATAGTTTTATTTGGAGGAATTCCAATGTGGAACAATTTTTGAGGACTCTACCCGAAGATCAAATGGGTAGTTTCTATCTATTAGGTAGGCGTTCTATAACTTGGATAGATAGATACTTTTTACCGTCAGAATAGGTGTGATGTGATCCTTCTCTTTAAACTTTTAAGCTCATTGGGTGCTATGCACCCCCACTTCGAAGTATCCTCTAATAATATAATTTTCTTTTAATGAAACAATTTTTTAAGGTGACTCTGGGTATCCTCTGCGACCATGGCTAATAAATCCATACTTGCCAGAGCCAGCTCCCGGAACGCCAGAACACAGGTTTAATCAACAAATGCGTCAAATAAGAGTTCTAATTGAAAGATGTTTTGGCCTACTAAAGAATCGATTTAGGTGTCTCCTTAGAGATAGAGTGTTACACTATGCCCCAATAACTGCATCAAAAATAATTACAGCTTGTGCTGTTTTACATAACTTGTGTCTGGAGAATAATATTCCACTTTATAACGATGATGGGGAGCACATAAACGATGAAATTGATTTTGACAATGCATTAATAGCAGAAAGGGCCAATAATTTGATTGAAAATAACTTTTCGGCACGTGGCCGACAAATCAGAAATTTTTTGGCCAGGAACTATTTTTAAAACAGGTGAAATTATGAAATATTTCTTTTAATAAATATTTTTATTTTAAATTTTATTCACAGACAGGTCAACAAACTAAAATTATAAAAAATCTTTTCAGGATAGGAGTGAAAAAATTTCTGACGCAAAAAACATTAGTTTTAACGAATTTTTTTGATGATGATACCCCGTTTTACATATTATGGCTGTTCTTGCTCTTCGGCCTCTTTACCTAGTCTTAGCTGTTCGATGGAATGTTTTCAAATTTCAGATTTTTATTGTTATGTTCTAATTTATTTATTTTTTAGACATTAACCTATATTTTATAGCATATATTGATATGTATTTTTATTTTTTTATTTCTGTATCGTTTGTGTTATTCATATTAGCTTTGTTCATGAACTTTAAACAATAAAGCGTGGTTTGATTTGATTTGAAGATTGAAAAGTTTTCCGACTGGCGTAGTAACCTTTTGGCCATTGTTCCACTCAACAACCAATATGTATCGGTTAGCAATAGGATATTGGCACAGAATGTGGATAATAAGTTTTTTCAAGTTTTGGCCCTGTGCATAATATTCTTCTGTACAAGATAAAATAATAATAATTTGAAAAATTGTTTATAAATAAAAAACCTTTCTGAACAATGAGTATTTTATTCAAAAATAAGTAACTTCCCATGTATATTTGGTTTTTGTTTTTAATAATAAACCTCAAATAACAAAATAAGTAGGTACTTAACTTCCTATAAGTAACAAACATTAAATAATTATAGATACTATTTGATTGCCCATTAAACAGTGGCGGTTCCTCCATAAGAGCACATGTGCACGTGCACTCCCAAATTAATATCAAACAACTTTAAATTTAATTTTATCATTCTTCAAATTTTAACATTCTACCTGTAAAGTATTAATTTAAAAAATTAGTGGCCAAATGCGCCAGCAAAACAACGGGCATCCCCCTTTCGGCATTTATTATGAATTACAAATTATGTGCACCCCCAATATGTTATACCACGAGCCGCCACTGCCATTAAACATTAAAAAAAGACAACAGTTGACATAACATACCTATTAAAGATAATAACGCTTTCCGTCAACGTATATCCCTTGGTCCAGAGGCCCTCGGGAAATACACCATTGACCTTAAGCGTTATTATCCTTCTAACCTAAGATACGTTCAGGAACATAACAAAACTTATTATTTGAGACAATACACTCACTCTAGCTTTTTTATCTCCAAAAACCTTTCTAGTCCATCTGCAATCCTTTGTTGGATTTCAAGATGTTTCT